GTGTGTGTGTGCCACCTCCCGTTTCCAAGGACACTATTCCTCTTTCTTACTATCAAGCTTGCACAGTCGAACACAGCAGGGGATAGTTTGTTCGTGATATCCAGAATCCAGAAGGGACGCTCTCTGGACGTACAGGGCCAATTTTACTATTATTTCTCGCTTCTCGTTTCACCCATGTAAAACAATACAAATCTTTGGACTATTCGCCACTCTGTTCGCGAAGTCAAGGTCCAGGTCTAACCTGCAGTAGGTCTAACCTGAATTCTCGCTCCACGGAGCACTATTCAGCTTCTTCCCACTGTGGTAAGCTGTGTGATCCCGCGGGGGCGCCGTTACTGAGTCTCAACTCCCTTCCCGGAACGCAGTTTCTGAAAAGTCCCACTGGGACCTCTTCCTGACGCAGACTGTTGTTGCTTGAAAATCATTTTCAGAACTTGTTTCACCCTCGAACCTTGCACTCTTGCCGCAGAGCTACTGTAAATCCACTACTGAATCAGTTTCACACATGAAAATCTCAGCTTCAAGTTTCAAAAAATGTGGCGTTCGTTCGGCACACTTGCTTGGAAGACACAACTTTTGCAGTAAATGTTCTCTCCTTCCTGTTACGTTCTTCTTTTCTGCTTTCTCTCTCTTCCTATAGGCTTGTTAGGTGTAACTCAGGCTGCGCCGGAATCGGCTTCTTTGTGTCAATTTTCACCAAACACATTTCCTACTGGATCTCAATTAATTTGCCGTTCGTTCGGCACACTTGCTCGGAAGACGCCCGTGTTTTTTTGCAGTTTTTCTCTCCTTCCAGACACGTTTCTCTTCTCTGCTTTCGTTTCTTCTAAAGGCTTGCTAGGTTGCAAAAACACAGGTTATTTTGCCGAACTGACTGACAGACTGAGTGTACCTACTTTCACTCTTGCCGCCCTTGTCTTTTTGCTCTTTATTTCTCTCTTCTATAGGCTTGTTAGGACAGGCTATTCAGGATTTTAGCGCACTTCTAGCAGCGCCGATGCGGCACATTGTGTGTGTGTGTGTCACCTCCCGTTTCCAGGGACACTATTCCTCTTTCTTACTATCAAGTTTGCACAGTCGAACACAGCAGGGGGGCAGTGGACCACTATCACTCACTGCCCAACGAAGACAGTGATAGTTTGGTCGTGATATCCAGAATCCAGAAGGGACGCTTTCTGGATGTACCTGCACTAAGTTTAATATGTATCATTTCTTGTTTCACCTATGTTAAACAATACACATCTTTGGACTATTCGCCATTCTGTTCGCCAAGTCAAGGTCTAACCTGCAGTAGAGGTAAAGCGCTAATGAGCACCGAGATCCAACCTGAATTCTCGCTCCACGGAGCACTATTCTCAAGTGTGTGTTCTGTTGAGCAACTAATAATAAGTTTTAACCAACGTAGTAAAGAAACCCCTGGTGACTTTTGTCTCCAGCCAGTGAAGCAACGGCAAAGATCGCGATTGCCCAAAGAACAGCCGGGACATCACGGCAGCCACTACCTTGCCCGTCTGCAAACCAATTCAGCAACTCAATTCAAGCGGCTCCCACTCACTTCTTGGGAAATAAGCGAGTCTGTGATACATAATATTTGCTATGTTTCTCTTTCAACAGTCTCAACTTATAGTGGTGCTTGGTGTTAAGCACGTGGTCTGTATCTCTTCTTGGAATCTGCACACATTTATGCAAGAGTTCGCCAGAGCCACAAGCTTCATGTTGGCAATCACAACGTAGACAGGCCCGGAGCCCTCCGTCAAGGAGGCTCAGGTCAAACTCAGAAGTCAGCTCAGCTTCACAGGTATCTTAACATCTGCTCCGCGCCTTTTGCACTGAGCGAAGTGTGAGAAGCTCTCCCACAGCATAGATTAGACCCAAAGGCAGCATCTTCAGAATCTCAGGAGACAGTCCGGTTGCCAGTGGAGCTACTTGTTCCTAGTAGCTACTTGTTACTAGTAGTAAGGCCAGGAGCCCCTAGTAGCATCCTTGCTCCTAGTAGCAATGCCAGGAGCCCCCTAGTTCTTTTGTCGTGACTAGAAGGCTCCCCAAAGCAACAGGATTGTCGTCGCTCTTGAAAAATGCCCGATCGAGCGTTCTTTACAGCAGTACAACTTGGTGCTGAAGCCATTCGTCGTTTGGTCCACTGTCCACTTGCTTCACCTGAAAAAGTGCAAGCGCGGAAGCCCGTCCCAGCTAAATGCAAGCCAGTAGCCAGGCTACCATCCTTGAAGATGGAAGATAAGCCCAGCTTCAATGACACTGCAAACAGCGCCAAAGAGAGCTGCAGCGCATCATTCACCAACACCACAGAGGCTGGACTGAAAGGGTAAGCACGCGTCTCCTGCAAGGAACAAAACATCGAAGTTCAGGGCGGAACCTTGGTGGTCGTCGAGAAACTCTTTTCTGGTTTACAGGTCCAGCTCTTGACCCCACATCCCGTGTTGAGTGTTGACCTGTTCTTCTGTGTCTAGTTATAAAGTTTGTAAAGTCCACAATCTACTGTCGACACTTCAGAGATGCGCCTGCTGGTATACAAAAAACAAACTATAATTATCTGTAATACTATATATAATATGGTAGAATAACGAATGAGTGAGAGCAATTTCACAAAGAATATTGGCAAAGAAGCAAGGGGCATCAAGGCTTCTCCTTGATGAGTTCGAAAGATTACCAAGATATCAAGAGAGAAAGGCACCTCCAAGGTAGGCTGGTAGGTGCTTCGGATGGACAATACCTGTGGCCGTGGCCTGTGGTTCAAATCATGGGACATCTTCTCCTGCTTACGCTTGCCTCCGTCAATGGCCTTGCCGACAATTTACCAAAATCTCTGGTCTGGGAATTGATGTTTACTGGGTTTCTTGTTTACGCTTAAGTTTAATACTAATACAAATTATTACAAATTATTGTTTCTAATAGCTTCTTGCTCCTAGTAGTACGGCCAGGAGCCCCTAGTAGCGTTCTTGTTCCTAGTAGCGATGCCAGGAGCCCCTAGTAACGTCCTCTACCCCATGGTGCTGTTGATCGGTCTGCTGTTGCTGCCCTCTCACCTGCAGCGCCAGTCTTCAGGCTCGTTTGACTTTGTTCTTGTCTTGCATGTCCGCATTTGCATCACGTTGTTTCGGTGGGGCAATTCCTCTCAGTGGTGGAACGAGGCGAAGCTATGCGAAGCTCTTGTCAAGTTGTCTCCGAAGTTCCTTGTTGTCATATGTCCTTTTGAAAATTGGGTCAGGCGCGAGCCTCTCAGCTTCTCTCTCTATCATTGGCATCTCACCTTACGTCAGAGTGGGACAAGTATCAATCGTATCGTGAGCCTTCAAAGCATCATTAAGACGGACAACCGACATGTTCTACTCAGTTGTTGAGCTGCGATTGGCTGGTATAAAACTCAAATCGTACTCTCCCCCGCCCTTCGCAAGAGGCCTTGGTGTGGCCAGAGAAGACTTCCTGCTCAAATGCGGTCTTGGACCAATCCAAAAGCGTGGGATAGAATGCTCCAACGACCTGAAACTCATCCGAGGTGTTCCAAATACTTGCTCCACGGTTTCTATGTCAGTGTTCCATGAGGTCCAGCGTGCAAGTCCTTTCGCTGGTTCAGTTGGCTCTTATATTCAAGACTTCAATATAGAACATTCATATTAGGACATCCTGTGCGGATTCTGATTCAGGCCATGATAGAACATCCTGATCCAGACTCCTGACCACACTCGATCTGAGGCCTGGAGCAAATTCGAGCGTCTAGTCCAATGCTACGATTTCTTCAGCAGCGAAATCTATGAGGTTTGAACAAGGTTGAACTCCTCTTCATTCGGAGGATTGAGACATCCGAGCGCACACCAAGGGTTGCATTGCACGTGCTTGGGGCCGCTACTTAAATCATCTGAATTGTGAGGGCCGGTATGGTCCAGTGGCCTGGGTTCAATCCCCAGGTGTAGCACTAGGCGGCCACTACCCTACCCCTGCAGTTATATAAGGGGATGAGTTAGTGTGTGTAAAAAAAGACACGACAACAATCATCTAAATTACCACAGTATTCGGGGGTAGGAGTAGGGCCAGGCGTTGTTTGATGTGATGTAAAACAAAATGGTACCGTATGTGATATGTGCAACCAATACAATGCATACACGGGCACAATAGCAAAATGATGTCCCAGCAAAGGTAGCCTGAAGTCAGCCAAGCATCTGTGCAAAGAACACAAAGCAAGGCTTGCACCAAGAGGTAATTCTTGGACTTCGAACGCCTGGACTTGGACACTGTAAGGAACAGTGGCCGTGAAAAAAAGCATTGGATCTGCAAAATGCCCACCTGGATGGGCTTGGCGATTCTTCCCCCATTGCTTCGCAACACTGATCAGTGATATTAGTGCGTCTGCTCATACCAAGCTTCTATGTTTTAAGTATTCAAAGACCGACCGTGGAACCCAACCAAGCTTGCATCAAATATCAGTTCAGAGTCAGCCAGACTCGCTAAACACGGTCAATGTCTGCAATATATGTTTCTTGATGTGGCTCCACTGGGCATACGTACAATAGGACTGGCTCATTAGGGCCAATCTTAGGCTAGCCCTCTGCGAACGTTTCTTTGCAACTTTGGTTAATGAATGTCAATGGTTTTACTGCTGCCTTGATGGGCCAGCTGTGAGATGAAAGCAATAATATTCGATTGGTCAAGATTGCATGTCCCTTTTAAGCATAGCATAGCCTTGCAAGTCGTGTTTGATGAGTGACAAGCATCATAGAGGTCTTGTCTTCTTTATTCGATTCAGTCTTTTGAAGAAAGTGCGTTTTGAACAGACCGGCAACGCCTTTCTCCAGCCTCAGGTGTTTGACGGATGAACTGTCTTCAATAACGAGCCTCGAGAAGTACTTCAACCCAGCGCAGGAAGCTGTCTTCAGTGTCAGCCTGCAGCTGTGGAAAGTCTGTCTTGGGATAACATTCATTTGTGATTTATACATAATTTATGAGAGGACCAAAAGGGACGAAAAGGCAAGTCTTGTCATGATCATTCGTTGTGCTGCAGAAACGTGTGCTATTGCACCACTTGCACCTGCAGAATCTCCTTTCGCGAGCTTCCTCAATTGACCACCAATCGTTTGGCAGTTGGTGGAAGTTCTGTCAAAAGCTGCCTACATGTTTGCTACTGTGCTACTGTGCCACCTCAAAAGGAGATTTGATAAAACAACTGCTTTCACGCCTGGATTGTGGATTCTTTGGGCCCCAGCGCAGACCCAGAAAGGACCTCTTTGTCACTTCCACCTCAAAGCACCTGCGCACTGTGAAAGGGGAGGCCATAAAACTGGGAGTCATGCGTGCAAGGCTTCAGACTACTACATACTGCCACGACGGGTTCGTCATGCTGAACACTGAGGAGACCTTCTTGAACCAAAGAGACAAACGACATGAACAGTCATGCTGAAACGCTCTTTCTTTCTGGTGCTTCAAATGTTGGACTCGGCCGTCACCTGATCAAGCACTGAAGATAGATGCCACAGCAAGCAGGTTGACTAGGGAAAGCGTGAGGAGGCCTAGTTCTCTGAACAAGAGAGTGTACAAAGAATTGGCTGCTTCTGAGTTGACATAATGGCACAGCTGCTACACTTTGGCTCCGCTGCTGCCAAGCCACTCTGGGAGAACCTTGGAGACAAACGGTGTGAGCAAAAGCCCACGGGCCCACGGGCCAAGTCAGAGCCACTGAAAAAATAAGCCAAGGCACGCAACGCCAAGCCGGGCCATGTCTTTCTGAACCAGCCTTTCCAAGGAATCAGTCATCAGTTTGAATCATTTAACAACACCCGCCATGCCATGCAACAATTTGCGGCTGCGGTTTAAGCCTTCCAGACCCTTGCTTGCATCCTTGATTGCCGCAGAATGGCAGAATAGCTCAGATCCAGTACAAGACACAGTCCTACAGATAAAATCGGTGATGAATGTAATTCTTTATGATATACGATGCTTGAATCTTGCTTCTAAGTTGCTTCGGTACTTTTCATCCTGCCCATACTTCTCGCGCTGCCGCTTTTCAAGGCCTTTGCTTTGGCCAGTGATTTCACAGAATTGATGCAAGCTATGATAAGCCATAGTCTCCGCAGAGTAAATTTGTTCACTCATGGCAGTCTGTGACCCAGGCCAGCCGTCGCTTGCATGAGCCTCAGTTGACACTCACTACATAATATGTTTGGCAAGCAAATGGGAAGCTTCGCCCCCTCGATTAGCACCGGGTTGTAGCTTGGATGCTCCTGCTAATTTGGGGATTAAGTCTTGTCAATTCAATGTTGTTGGAGTCCAAGAATTACCAGAGTTCAATCAAGCCGACCATCTACTGATCTTGCTCACTAGTGCATGCTCACTCAGGGTCTTTTGTCCAAGTTACACGAAAATAATGCCAAGCAAACCCAAAGAAGACAGCAGCAACCAGGCGGGCAAAACCGCCTGTAGAGCCTGGACGGCACTGCACGCTCCATTGCTCCTCAAGATCCTTCAGGCCTTCTAATGTTTGTTGCCTTCAGGCCTTTGGTTGTCAGTTCATGGGTGTCAATTCCATCAAATTCCGGTAAATGGTGCTTGCCCGCTGGAACAATTACTGTCCTGGTCCTGAGTCCTGAATCTAGAAGCATCTATAATCTACAGTATATAGAAGAATCCAAAGAAAAATAACGACAGGAGAGTCCATTGAGAACCATATGATACCATATGTCAGCGGAAACCAAGTGCAGACCGTCTGCAAACGAGAGCAAGTTCTGCCGAGTTGTCCAAAAGGCATTGAGAGGTTCTTTTCAAACAAGTCTTCCCTTCCCTCGTAAGTTCCAATTAAAGGAAAAAACAAAACAAAGCATGATATGGTGAATACAAACAAGAACCGCCGATGTTGAAGTATTGAATGCTGAAAACCCTTCTGCAACATCTGTGGATATCTTTGGTTGAACGGATGGCCTTTGGAAGTCCATGCTTTGTGGACTTCATGGCTGCAATGGCTAGCAGTCCAGCAACAAAGTTAGCACTCCAAAGCAGCTGTTCGCCTGCCACACCGTCGTGACGCCCGGTCGTAAACCTTATACAGTATCTATATGATTCTACAGTCTATAGTATATATACTGTATATATGTAGCCATATAGTCTTGCAACATCTTGTATCTAGTCCTGTCTCATGCCTTTGCTTGAACTTGAACTCATGCCAAACATTTCGATGCAGTGTGCACGTATGCAAACTACTATAATGACCGACACAATCGTGGCCTTTGTGCATCTGGCACGATCCATCCGAGCTTGTTATTATTGTATATAAATATACCAAAGAACTGGAGCAAGTGACAAATCTCAAATACCGCTTGACTCGATGAAAGCAGTGCAAATCCTTTAACCCAATATCTTCTTTATCTGTCTTGGCTAAGTGTAAGTCAGCAGCCTGTATAGTTCGGATGACCTGCGAAGCTCTGAGAAGCTGGAGGCTTTTGGAGGTACACAATCATGCAACAATGAAAAGCCAATATATACAAGCAAACAGTGCCAAGAAAACAAGAAAGAGTCTGGGACATTCCAAGGTGTCCGTTGTTCTCACACTGGAGATGGAAGTACAAAGCTCTTGGATACCCTGCGTAGCAAAGCGTAGGGGCCGGTCGTAACAATGGCGTTTTGGCCCTGCTGGGCCTCACTCAAGAGGAGCAAATAATTTTTTGGTACACCTCAGCGCAGCCTGATCCGCAGGGTATGGAGCACCCACAACAAAAACTGGATTCCTGCACAGAAGACCAAAAGCCTTGACAACTGACTTGTAGATGTCGCCGAAAGCTGCAACGCCCCAACCAACCTGAGGACGGCATCCGTCAAACCAATCCAATTCACTTTGAGTGGGAGCTACTTGCGTCCTCATCGTCTTTTGAGCAATGACAGGCAAATTGCTGATCACGAGACTTGCTCATGATTCTAGGATACTGTGTCATGTTGATCGATGTTGCGCCTTCATGTGCTGTGTGAAGTGGAGCCTCCCTTTCTGGACTTAGAATGCCCGGTTGTCTTACGTAGAGGTTCCGGAGAACATAAAGAAGCGGCAAGTCAAGCCAGTTTTCATCCGCAGCGGGCGATGTCAGCTCTGGTCTACTTTGAGAGCAAGCTTCATGACCAAAGAAGTCACAAACATTGTCTTCGATACCATTGGTGTGAGATATTCTTCAAGCAAAATGGTTTCAAGCTCTTGCTCTGCAAAGGTATCCAAAGACCAGCAGCCTGGCTTGAAATCACATCCAGGCCGCATCTAAAATCTCCACAAAGATCAAATTCACTTGCAAAGGGACGCTCGTCAGGGACAAAGAACATATGGTGTGTATATATATATATACATGTTTCTTGTGTACATGTGGGGGTCTGGAGCCTTTGTCTATGGCTGCCTTTGTACAATAATTGCTGATTTCTTATAACATATTACAATTCATTTACAGTAGAGGCCCAAAAGCAGGCAATGCTCAGCTTTAATGGCCTGAAAATAGTTGGAACCTGAGAACATGATCTTTGCAAAGCCTGTTATTATTGTAAGTTTATCGCCCACACTTGGCGCGAGCGAGAAAGTAGCATGGCTGAGCAGGCGACAGCGTAGAGAGGGAGAGAGAGGCACTTGATGCAGGTATTTCTGTGCAAACCACATGCTGTACTTTGCTTATCACACACCGTCCAACCAACTCAGCCAGTATTCTGTATGTATTCCTTTGCCATGCTTTGCTTTGCCCGCACTTTGGATGAGGCCTTTTCGGCAAAAGTGCTTGCTGTTCTTCTCGACGTATAAATCAAAGAAAATGAGCGAATCAACTCTGGAAGCTCAGGTCGAAGCACTCTGGCGACTGACAAATCAGGCAAAGCACTTCTTGACTCAAGCCAAGAAACATCTCATGGCCGCCAAGCAATCTCAGCGTTTCCAAGGCAAAATAACGGGGGGTCCTACAGCTGCCTCTGCCTTAGTTGGAAAAAACGAGTCGGCTCTATGCCGGTCAACTTATGTTAGTTTTGTCATGCCTTCTCCCCAATTCAAAATTCATTATATATTGATTATTGCACATTCAAGCAGCAAATATCCTGGTTGGAGATCTGAAAGGACTTTCCCCGGAAGCAAGATCTGGATGCTCGAAAAAGCCCACAGGCTAATACATTTGCGAAGAAATCCCTTTGCGTCCAAGCCACTCGATGTGATCGATGCGGCCACCACTTTTCAAGTGTACCACCATGTTGCAGTACTCAAGGGTATGGAGGTGGTGTGTCACAGAAATGATGGTAAGCCTCCCAAACTCCTGCGAAGTTGTTCCAAGGTTGTATCGCAGGATATCTAGTCAGCCATGAAGTAGTTGGCTAGCTGCTGGTGGAGATTCCGAGGATAGCACTGTATTTGTGGAAATCAAATATCAATCATATACACACCTACACTTGCACAATCGTGGTCATAGCCCTCCACCGCCTCCGGATGATTGCTTCGAAGGCTGGAGATCGTCTGCAGCACGTGTCGCTCTGTGGCCTGACGAGGCAACGTTGAACGATGCAATCGGCATGCAACAAAATGTAGCACTCGGCTGTCCATGTTGATCCATGTTGTTGTCCATGTTGTAATTACGCTATTCAAAAGCAGAGTGACACAACGGTAAAAGATTGCATATACCTCCCTTGCAGCATCTTGCAGCCAAAGTGTCGGCATCCAATGCAGATGTGGCTTCATCCAGCAGCAGCAAAGCCGGTTTCCGGCACAACGCGCGAGCTATGCAAAGTCGCTGCGCCTGCGCATGCTCCCAGTTTCAAAAGAATGCCCAAGCCCCTCCGTTCATAGGAAAGCAGCAAGGACGAGCTTCAGTTTCACAGGAAGCTTTGCATCAAGCTAGTTGCATGTCCTTTTTGTTGCTATAGCAGCTGTAAATTGTACTGTAAGTATATCTTCCTGATGTCATGTATCGATGCTGTCAACTCGTGACAAATACTGTCACAAAATGGTTCACGAGGCAAAAAGGAAACAGCCTCTAGGCTCTACCACTAAGACTCTGCATGTGCTTGAGAAATCATTCATTGCACGAACCTCGCATCCCTGCGTGAGACTCGCGAGCCTGCCCACCACTGAGTGTCACACCATCGGCACCGCCCAGCATGGTATCCTCAGAGCTTCAAGTCTACGGGATGCTGTGATGGTTTTGGGGTTCTGCATATGTTTCTTGAGATTTAGCTTGGATATCTCAGACCAAAGGATGTGTCCACCAGGCTCAATGCAGGACAAGTCTGAGCAATTGGCGTGCCCATGGTATCAATTTGCCGGGAACCACTGTTTCTAGTATGGCTTTGTGCCTTTGTGCAGTGCTGTACAAGTCATGACAAGCCATGAGTCATAACCTTTGGGCAGGCTGGAGGTGATGAAGTCGGCACAGCCTGCCAACTCTGCTGCCCACTTGGCATCTTGCCGGGTGGTCCCAGTTGGAGCACCTCAGTCAGGGATTCGATGCGATTACTTCAAATAGAGCTCCAAATAAAGGATGCTGATAACATAGATAGCTACAGGGGCAATCCTCCAGGTGGCTCTTAGGCCCTAGGTAACTTGAGGCCAAGGGGGCGGGCGAAAGCTAGCGCTCCAGAATGGGAAAGTGGAGGGCAGCGAGGTAGGAAAAAACACGGCGCTCTTTTTGGAGGCAGGGGTGAAGAGCCCTTTATATGTGGCTCTTTGCCCGGATCCTCCTGCGAGAGAAGAGAGAGAAGAGAGACGGAAAGACGAGAGACAGAGAGGAGAGAGAGAGAGAGGAGAGAGAGATGAGAGAGATGAGAAAGAGATGAGAGAGATGAGAGAGATGAGAGAGATGAGAGAGATGAGAGAGAGAGAGAGACAGTGAGACAGTGAGACAGACGGTGAGACAGTGAGACAGTGAGACAGTGAGAGTGAGCGAGTGCGGCGGCAAGATACGCAACGCTAACCGCATGCCAAAGAGCGACGACAGGACGGAGTCGAACTTGCGAAGAGGGAGGAGGGAGGGAGGGAGGGAAGGTGGGAGGAAGACAAGGAGGAGGAGAGGGGAGGTGGGGTGGGGAGAGGGGAGAGGGGAGAGGGGAGAGGGGAGAGGGGAGAGGGGAGGAGGGGGGGGGGGGGGGGTGAAAGAGTGACTAGGGCGTACACGGTAGAGGTGCAGACCGCTAGTGTCTTTTATGCGCAGAGTCTTATCCTCTTGCTCTTTAGGTCCATTGACCCTCTCTTGAGCCTTGAAGCAGTCAAGCATGGACACACTATATCAGCTGTTGGAGTGGAACCCTGTACAGGTAGGCTCTACTTTTCAGCAGGCACAAGATTCATGTCCACTTCTAGCTGATTGCGTATGTCGCATACTCTTTTTCTACTGCAAGGCTAAAACAATCCAGCTAGCTCTGACAACTTAAAAGAAAACTACGGTGCCATGTACTTACCTAATCCGGTGTGTTTCACACTTCAGAGAAGGTAATCTCATAGCTACTAAATACAGTGAGGGAGCAATAGCTGACTCACCTCAAGTACAAAATCAAATCGATAATGTACCTCGGCTGGAGACTGTACTTTTCGCAGGCGGAGATACCATGTACCGGCGCTCACTAGCTCTTTAGGGCCTGAGCTAAATCAAACTAAAAAGGGAAAGCGGCTTTTTCTCTACAGAGACCTATAAAAGAATCAAACGACACTCGCGTAACAAGGAACTAAAAATTCAAGACCGCACAATGCAATGAATTAAGATGCCTTGCAAAATGCAAGGAGCGTCAACTCTCGGTCCGAGGAATGGTCTTCTCGAAAAGTGGTCTCGGCCGCTTTCATTCACAGACAAAATAAACTGCATCAAAAGGACTCTTTCTTTCACATTCACATCAAAAACACAAGAAGGAGATACCGGCAAATGTATGTACAAAAAAAATCTTGCACTACAATTGCAAATCATGAAATGACTTAATCATCAACCATGACTGGTTGTCCATTAGAGGTCACTTCATAAGAGCGGTGGTGATAGATATCATCAGTTATGTAAAACTGTCCATACCCATCTACGTGCTAAAGCGTATAAACCTGGAATGCAGGAGTATCTTCTTTGATAAAAAGTTTCTCCTCATTGCAAACCAGAATTTATTAAAACTTCAGCCTGGCAACTTAAAGTCAAGCCTGGAAGCAAAGTATCAACTGTAACCAGAAGTATCTTCACTTCCTAGCCATCATTTAAATTTCAGCCTTCGCTCAGGAATTATGCCGCTGCAGACGATGAAGCTGCTTGATCAGAAGTTGGCGGCCTTCCTTTCTTTCTATTCTGCTTTTGTCTCTCCTTCCTCCGCACGTTAGCCTCTTGAAGCGTTGCTCCCATGCGATACTGTCTTCTGTCTCCAGATGAAAGGGAAGCTGGTCTGAGTGAAATAAACATTGGACCATGACTGTCCTCGTCAGTGGGCCTTGAGCACATAACCTCTGTGTCAATCATAGCAAAGTTCTCTGAAAAATTACAGATGAACTCCTTCGTGCTCACTGTGGAATTTTCATATTCCTCTTCACTCATTGAATGACCCCATTCAACAATGGTAGACAAACATGTATCGCCAAGCTGTGATCCTTGGTATTCTTCTTTTTCAACAGTAGAATATTCTTCCCAGAGTTTGTCAAAGTAAACTTCACACTTCTTGAGGACCTGTGAAGTGGAACTGTAAAATGTTCTGGGAATAGGTGCTTTGATACCAAGATCTGCTTTTACACGAGCTTCTGAAAACCTGCGGATCCAATGCTGCATGGTGCTGTAATAGTAGTTAGCCATTGGCTGCCTTTTGTATCCAGACATTCTGTAGGCCAAACTATTTGCATCACCAGAAATGATGTCCACCTCATAGACAAAACACTCGTAAAGCATCAATGCTGTCTGTTCTCCTGTCAGTAGGTGGGCATCCACAGCACGGTGTGTATCAACATGATAATTACAGACTCTGATGGTATGCATGTTCGCTCGAGTAAGTGGAACACGCTTGTCCTCAGGACCATAGTCATCAAATTCAAAGTCTGCATCCTTGAAATCTTGACGAGGCCTTGTTTCTCCAAAACAAATCTCGTAGATAGCCCAAGTTACATCACGCTGTTCACAGTGACCAAGATCTTGGTCATGTCCAGCAATGATCTTGACATATCCACCTGGTGCCAATCTGGCCATCACTGCAAGATTCTCCCAATCATTGAAACAAACTGTCCAATTCTTTTGCTCAATAAATTCCTTGGCAGGAACAAGAAGATGAGCTTCCTGGAGAATCACGACATGTGCACGTAAAAAGAAGAGCATGTTGAAGAAAAGGTTGTTCTCAAATTGCTCATTCTGAAGTGACATGGCGCTCTGTTTGCGTGGCCTCATTGCACTATCAAGTCCTTGGAGAAACCTTGGTGTGGTGTACTTCTGACCACGAACCATGTTGCCATAGTTCCAGGATAAAAATGTCAAGGACTCTGAGCTGGCCAATAAATTAGTTCCATATGGTTCTTCTATTCTTCCCTTGAGGAACCTTCTGCACAGCTCTTCATAGAAGGTGACAAAGTCCCAACTGGGTCCCTTGGGACCATATGATTCCAGTTCCTTCTTGAGTTCCTTTTTCGTATCCTCCAATTCTTCTCGAGCATGACCTGCCCTTTCAAGGGCCTTTGGATCGACCTGATACCTGCCATCCAAATAAATGATGCGGTCATCATTGATGAAGAATCTCTTCAAATCCTGCTCTGGTTCATGTTCATAACAATCAGGTGGAGGTACTGGACAGACATTTCGAATGGATCGAACAAAATCATTCTCGTTGATCCTTGACTGATAATGAGGATGGGAAATCTCACCTTTTCTAAAACAAACATGATTCAGCAATCTTGCATGAGTTTCCCTGAAGCGTAGTTGATAAAAGCAAATACCTGGATCTCCTGTAAGCTCTCCAAGCAACTTCAAAGGTGAAGTATGCAACTCATAGGTATTGTCAGCTTTTGTTGTATCCTTTTCAACAACTACTTCAGATGGAAAAGATTCTTGGATTTCAGCCTCCAATTTCTTCTCTTCATCATCATCTCTGACCTCTTTTATTTTCTCCACCGCCTCTTTCTTCTCTTCCATGGTTGCATCATCCTGAACTTCTTCATGAAAATGAGGATCAGGAATCTTATTCAGGCGGCTTCTCTTCGATTTCCGCTGACCTGAAGTATCATCAAGGTTAGCATCCATCTCACCTGATGGTAAGTGCGATGCAGTCGAGTCCTCACCTATCTCTCTTGACAGAAAGTGTGGTGTTGACTCTTCCTTGGCTTTCTCCTGGTCAACTTCCATCTTTGGTTCCTTTGAAGGAAAAACACCTGCATCTTCATTAAATATTTCTTGTTCCTTTCCAGGTTCAACTGCAGGATCTTCTTCAGGAACTTCCTCTTCCATATTCTCATCTTCTAGAAGTGTCATACTGCCAGTATAAACTTCACCAGCGATAGTGGAGACTCTTGTATAAGGAGGAACTTCTTCACCTACTTCAAAAGCTTGTTCTGCAACATCCTTGGTGAGCAAGTCCTCTACAAGATTTTCTCCCTCGGTTCTTGGAAGAGATCCTGAGGTCTCATAAAAATCTGTCCTCTCTGAACTGAAAGCTTCTGTCGCCTTCTCATTGTCCTTTTGATCCCTGAACAGGTGAGTAATCTTCACAGCTTCTCCCTGTAGCACCTGATCTCCTCCTCTATACTTGTCGACAATGGAGCGCCATACTGGAACATCATCATCATCAAAATCAAGCTCCATATCATCTGCCAACAGGTATGAGATGTTTTGAGCTGCCTGTTCTTCTTCTTCATCACGTTCCTTGGCAAGCTCCTCATCCTTCTGGATCTTGAAGATACCCTTCAGGATGTCTTGTAATACCTTTAAGTTCAGCTTCGATGATGGCTCATACGTCCCTGAACTTACAGGCTCAACTACAACACGAGAGCAAGAAATCGCCTCCAAAAACTTGGAATTGTATTGGCGTTCAAACTCTTCCTTCTTGATCATCTCATACAAGGGATCAGAAACTGCAACACGCGCCTGAACATACTCACGAAGTTGATAGCATGCATGTTGCACAAATCTACTGTTGGAGTTGTGAAGAAAACTCTCTAAATGATTCCTGTCACGGTCAATCAAATACCACACAATCCTTGCAGAAAAACGGAATTTCTTGAAGTTCATAGCAAAATGTGTATGATACTTCTCTGGATTCCTTTCTGCTTGTAAAGCGGCCTCTGAAGTCTTGTAAACAGGAAGTTTTGTGTGTGGATCCAAGATCATAAAATCTTCCCACAAGATCGAGTGGTTAAGAACCCACTTGGGAAGCACCTTGATGAAAAAGTCACAAACAAGTTCAGACAAAAGGTGCATGACACGGCCAATCTCTTCCTCCTGCTTGAAACGATAGTGCAATTTGGCAAACAAGGGACTGTTGAAGGCTTCCTCCAC